AAGAAGGAGAAAGAACAAAGAGATTTATTGGAAAAGAAGAATAATGAGCGTGAGGATTTGTTGGAAAAGAAGGAGAAAGAACAAAGAGATTTATTGGAAAAGAAGAATAATGAGCGTGAGGATTTGTTGGAAAAGAAGGAGAATCTGAGAGTTGAATTGGAAAACTTTCGACATATAGCTGAAGACCGCGCACATTCGATATTGCAAATGAAGCATATGTGTAACGTAAGAGGCGCGTTAGAATTTATTCGTGCGCAGGTAATTATTTATGCATTTGTTTGTTCTTAACATCCGATCTTTGAAAATTGAGAGACTTTTTTTCCTACTTTCTATGATAGATTTTAGCAAAGGATATGTCTATTGTTTTTACGGAAACCTTAGATAAAGCCTTGAATCGCTTGTCTCAAGATGAGAAATTTACCAAATATTTACAGAAAGCGTGTGAAGATAATAGTCTTCGGTACGAAGACGTTCAAAAATGTGTAGGTGGTCTCTACCATTCTACTTCAAAACACTTCCATGGACACGAACAGAAAGTTATAATCGATTCGCGAACTTGGGCCACAAACGAAATTTTTTTGTTGGGCGTCATCTTTCGCCATTACAAAGTTCCGTTTGAATATTGTAATACCGATGGCAAGCTGGAGCATTATCCCTATAAATTGTAACAAGAAATATATTGCGGTTATAATTACCATCTAGTATATATACTCTATATCCATAGAAATCATGATGATTATAAGTTTTTTTTTACATGTTATTGATCTTTAATAAAGTATTTTCATTTAAGAATAAGTTTTTTTATTTTCCATGGTATGAATTATGGGAGTGCTTGCGATAATTCATTAAATTATTGGTCCGATTAGCCTTTAGCTGAAATGTTCGGAGATCTATGACTCGTTGATCTTTATTGTTACTACCTGTAATTACATACTAAGAACTTTTCCAGCTACTTCTTTATGTCACAGAAATTATCTATTTTACTATAAGTATTTCTAATATATTTTTTCTATTTACTAAAAAATTCATGACTTGTGCAATCAAAAATTTATTAGTTTACTCACATCAGTCTTATATGTATGCAGGTAAATATGAATTGCTAATAAATAAAAATGTAACTATTTATATGCACATGCTTTATGCTTGTATATTTAGCAGTATACTTTTACACTAGATTAATAAAAAAGTTTATCAATTGATTTGATAGCTTTGCTACTTTATTGCTTTTTATCTTCAACTAACTCATTAAAACTTTCTTTATATTATACATTTATATATTATAAGAATTCTTTTTCTTAAAATTGAAATTAAAGGAAAAATTCAGATTTTTTCAATAATGAATATATATTCAAAAGATTTTTCAAAGATAAATAGATTATTCTGAATTTGAACTAAGTGAATGAACAGAACAGACTTACATTTCTATTTTTACTCAAACTACTCTTTTATATTAAATCAAAAAATACAAAAACATATCTAACTCCCTTTTGGTACTTCTGTACGTGGCCTCCAAGATATTGTTCTCGCTACCATAGCAAAAGCCTGTTACATTCTACGCTCCAACAATTATAAGCCACAGCCTTTGCAATTCTTTATTTTGACTCACTTGATATCTTAAATGATGCCATTAAGTTTGACTATGCTTTTGGAGGTAATAACCTACAATAGTGTTCTACTGAATCAAAATGTTACCATAAGTGTGGCTCAACTGACCATATTGTTATGAAATGCCTGCAAATTTTACCTTCACTTGAAAATGAATCAACTGAAATCAAGAAACAATATTTACATCTACCTTCCGTTCAAAAACTTTATAACAGATTCAAACTCGCTGATTCATGTACTTTAATTCTAAAAAATAACAACGACAATAAAAATCAAAGGTTTTCATCATGTGATCTAAACCTCAATTACTCTGATGCCTTTCTAGAAACAACAAAGGCAAGAATAAAGATACTGGCCCTAATCCAAAAACTGTCGATAACTCTATTCACTATTCTAACAACACAAATGATACCAACAAAAAGCTTGATCAAATTCTTGACATGCTGTCTAATATGAAAAAAGCCATATCTGATCTTGAAGTTCAAATTACCAAATTAGAATGTTCACAGTTAGCCTCACCTTCTTCTAAACCTTTTACTCCTATCACCCCATCACCTCTCACTCCAATTGTTTCTAAACCAATTTCTACCTCTCATGACAATAAACGTTTCTGTTTGAATGAATCTTTCTTAGAAGATAATACTTGCTCTGGCCCTAGTCCTGTTAATCTAAAACTTCAGAACACCATTAAAGAACAAAATTTAATTATTAAGGCTCAGCAAGAACAAATGAATGTCATGATGGCACAACTCCAAATTCTTACTAAGAAATTATCCCAATAATTGCCATCCTTTCCTCCAACTTCTATCATGATTAATAACTACAAAAATATTACTCTTTCACACAATTTAGACACCCAAACTTATGACGATCATAACATGAACAGATCATTCACTATTTTCTTTGCTACCCATAACGTTCACTCCTTATAATGTAACTTAAAAAATGAATTAATCAAAGATACCTTTCTAGATTTTGACACAGATTTTGTCAGTCTAACTGAAACTTGTCACAGATCAAACCAAACTTACAAAAATAAACACGATCCAAATTTTTCTTCCTTTTGGAATTCTTTTATTAACACCCATGTTAGCGTCGACCTTTTTATAAAATACACATAGTCCAATTATGTACAAAAAACCTTTTTAGACAGTGACCATTTTATTTATATAGATCTCTTCCTCACTGGTCACATCAAATTAAGAATTTTCTCAATTTATTTACATGCTAATCACAGCTCTTCAACAAAAAATGAACACCTTAAATTGCATAGAACAATTCTTAATCACATTAAGGATAGCCTGAAATCAGATTTTAAAATCATTCTCCTAGGTGATTTTAATGCAAACCTTGACAAATATTGGATCCACATCAATGAAGGACAAACCTTATATTGGAGATACGATTTTATCAAAGGATATTCGCTCTAAACTTTTTGGATTTATATGACATTTGTCATAATACATCCTAACTCACATTTTTTTCAAAACAAACAAACACACGTATCGACTTCATTTTTGCCTCTCTAAATCTCATTTCAGAACTTTCTTTATTCATACATCGACACTACTGATATGTATAAATCAGATCATAGTATTGTCTTTGCCAGCTTCGCTAATATTAGAAGTCAATCTCATACTGCATCATGATCTTTAATAAATAAACGATACATCTCTAATTTTAAAGCTATGAACCCAACTCAGTGGTCTCACTTTGCTGAATATACTAACTTCCATTATAATCATCATAATCTAGACCAATTTAAAGATCTTCTACACAATCTTGCTAATATGAACTCATTGTGGTCTGCTGTCAAGTCAACAACTTTAATAGCAAGTAAACAAGAAATACTACATATTTGGATCACATCTATGCAAAAAAAAAAACATCTTTATGATACCTCAGATTCTTTAAAGGTTGTCAAAAAAGTTGGCTCAATTTTATTAATGTTTAAACAACGTTTATTACAACAAAAACTTTGGCCAACAATTTTCATTTGGTCACAAATCATTTTCAATCTCAACAAAATTATTGTTAACATAGAACCCACTCAGTATACTTTTCCTCCAACTCTTGATTCAAATAACATTTTGGATGTTAAACAACACATTAAAGACATGTATTGATCTTTAATAGTCCTGGTCAAAGTTGATATGTTAAAACTAAATGAAACTGCTATTTGACAACTGGTAGATAAAAGATGTGATGATTTATCAAATGATACATCTAAAATGATTGATTCCATTTTAAATCAGAAAAAGCGTTCTATCATTTTGGATCGCCTGCTTATCAATAACAAAGACACTGGTAAAAATAGATTCACTATTGATCCTACTGAAATTAAGAAGGCTGTTATCGATCATTTCCAAAACTATACCATCTCTAATTCTCTTGCTCGTCTTATGTTTCGAAAATGGAAAGCCCAATATCGCCCTAAGAAATACATTAATAATAATTGGTATTCCAATTTGATGCAACCTCCTACTTTCGACAAATGGTTATCCATTTTCAAATCGCTATCTCTGATAAAGCAGCTGGACCTTCCGCTATCACCAATGAAATGATTACCCATTTAGGTTTTAAAATGCAACATTTACTTTGACAACTCATCAGCATGTGTTTCTCTATTGAGGAAATACCCAACATCAGCATGTTTGAAATAGGCGATGAATGTGTCAATCAACATCATGTATTGATCAATGCCAAAAAGTGTTGTACAACAAACCCTTTGTCAATCAATGCCATTTAAAAATATGTAAAACAACGCAATTTAAATGTAAAGCAACTCATATAGTAAAACAACACCAATTTGTATGATTATCAATATGCAAATATGCAGTAAAGTTTATTAATAAAAAAGCGTGTTTATAATACAGCTGAGCTATTATGATATACTAATTATGCTAAAATAAAATACTAATTTCTTTATGATTTATAACACCTTTCGTTTAACATCTTCGTCACTAAATTAATTCTCAAATTTCACAAATTTTTTTGGCATCTTGGTAGTTAACTGCAATAGACAAATTATTCATTCAAAAAAATGGATTTACATCGTCATTATCATTACTATAAAAGGAAGAAATAAATTTTTTCGGAATATTCTGAAAGTTTATCAGTTTTATACTGTAAACTAAACAAAACTTCAGTTAATCCGAAATTTAGACTATTTATCATAAATGCTACAAATAGATGATTTTGCATCATCCGATTGGAACGATATAGAAAATTGTTCAAAAGGAATGATAATTTGATTGTTTCTTATGAACGATATAGAAAATCATTCGAAAGGAACGATAATTTGATCGTTCCTTATGAACGATATAGAAAATCACTCAAAAGGAACGATATTTTGATCGTTCCTTACAAACGATATAGAAAATCATTTGAAAGGAACGATATTTTGATCGTTTCTTACAAATGATATAAAAAATCACTCGAAAGGAATGATAGTTTAATCATTCCTTACAAATATAACAAAATCGCTCGAAAGGAATAATATTTTAATTGTTCCTTACGAACAATATAAAAAATCGCTCAAAAGGAACGATAGTTAAATCGTTCCTACGAACGATAGTTTAATCGTTCCTACGAACGATAGTTTAATCGTTCCTACGAACGATAGTTTAATCGTTCCTACGAACGATAGTTTAATCG